GAAGATAGAGAGTTACAATTGTTACATATGCTTAAAAAAAACTAAAATTAAAACACAATTATTGCTTAGTTATACAAAATAGAAAGAGAGAGAAAGAAAAAAATAAAAAAAAATAATATAATATCATAAAGTTAAACCTAAGTTACATTTAACGATACACGCAGCCATTCAACAATTAATTTTTTAGCGTTATTATAATTATAATTAATATTTACATTTTTCTTTATAGCGAATGGCCTAGAATTATAATAAATAGGACCAAGATAATCAACAAATTTTTGACCAACTGATTTTTAAATAAATGATATTTTAGCATCAAATTAATGAAGAGCTCTTTTTTTATTGATTACATTTTTGTCAACCCACTGATCTAGGTGTTTAACCACCCACAAAATAGCCATTTTTTTTAATAAAAGGTCAACTTCATACATTGAGCTCCCTAAAGTTATGCTTTGTTGATCCAACATAGTTTGTTTTTTATAGACGTATGCGCACTATCTGACGTTGATGAAGCAATWAAGGTTTTAGAGCGTTATCCGAGGGTCCTCCCCAGATTAACAGACAATGTTGAGAAATTGCTTGGAGCTAAATATACAGTTCTCATGACATGAACAGATAACATTTTACGTAGCTTATAGAAACTGTAATTTAGACTTCGAAGATGCATGACTATTTTATTCACATGAAGATTCCATCTCAGGTGATTGTCAAACGTTAAGCCTAGATATCGGGTACTAGATACTCTAAATAACTTTTGACAAACTGTGCCACCTACACAAAGTTCCATTTCTACAGACATGTACCTAACATAAGTTCATTAGAATTATCTTTAACATTATTTATCGAGAAGTTCATAAACATAGTTTTTTTTTAAATTGATAGATAGACTTCTAAGTTTTAGAAGTTCCACAACTATTTTGGATTCTCGAGTTGCTTTAGTACTAACATCGCCCCAAGAGTCTCCACAATAGAGTAAGCAAGTGTCATCTGCATATATTACTATTCTTCCGTCAATATCCAAATTACACATATAATTAATGTGCAAAATAAATAAKAGRGGTCCTAAAACACTTTCTTGAAGAACACCGCAGTTTATAGATAGATAAACACCAGTAATAYCATTAATACGAACGGTTTGCTTTCTGTTTTCCAAGTAGCTTGTGAACCAACTTAAGCTTGTTACAGTAATATAAAAATTAGGTAAAATATTTATTAATTTTTTATGATTAACAGAATCAAATGCTTTGGACAAATCAAGAAAAATCKTTATAACTTTCTTACTGTTATCTAGAGCGTTATTTATAAATTGTGTTGCGCTGTATAAAGCATTTTCCGTTCCCAAACCTGGCCTAAAACCAAATTACTGTTTTGAGAGGATTTTTATATTTTTCTAAAAATGTTAAGAGCCTGTTTTTAACGATTTTTTCCAGGATTTTCGAAAAATTGCTAAGCATGGATATTAGATATTGGTCTATAATTTGTTACGCAAGTTTTATCCCCATTTTTATGTTYCGGTTTAATTATAGCCAATTTAAGTTTCTCGGGAAAAATACCATTTGTAATACCTACTTAAATTATATATGTATGTCAGAGGGCTTATAATACTGTCTATCGCAAGTTTTAATATCTTTACCGAGATACCATCAAAACCCACAGCAGTATCATCTTTAAGTTTATTTATAATTAATCGAGCATCAGATTCTTTAATGTTTTCATTGAAAATACTGTTAAAAGATATAGG